GCCTTGAGTAGAGACCCAATATCCATCTGCTACCTTAATACTTAACATATAAATATATGTACATTGTCCTATTTCACTATCATTATAATTAATCCATTTATATATATACAGGACTATACCTATAGCTCTATAAGGAATGCTCTTTATATATTCATATGAACTCAAGGAATTTTTTTAAATAATTGGTAATTTATATTTTTTAATAGAAATGCTGCTTACTTTTAAAATTCAGGTAAATAGTTTTCTTAATTATGAAATTATTTCAAAACATTCCTGGAAGAATTCCATGATCTTTTTTTTTTTTTTTAATTCCATGATCTTTTCATGTCATTTTCCCATGAGCATTCTGAAGCCCCCTTTTAGAACTGGGGAGGGGCCTCCAGGACTCCATCAAGGACACCCCATCACCACCACCACCACACACACATCTTGCTCAAACCAACCAATCTGTGCAAAGCTGTGCACATTGCAGGGAGGGTTATTCTTTGCATCTTACTTGAAAGAAGGCCCATGACCTTCAGCAGATCCCACAAAAGTTTGGTGGACCCAAAGCTAAGGATCACAGTCTTGGAGGACATTGGAACCAGGCCCTTGGCTTAACAAGGAAGAAACTGAGTCCAGAGAGGGGTTGGGCCTTTCTCGGGGCACACAGGACTCTGAAGGAGAGGAAGCCATGGTTTAAACCTCCCCCCACCCACCCCAACCCTGGCCAATCCCAGCAGCTCCTCAGCCCACCAGCACCATGCTAGCCAGGGCTGGAGCAGGGTGGGGACACTGGGCACAGGCCTTGAGGGCTGGGCTTTTAGCTCTCTCTGCACAGTCAGGGCAAGGGGACTAGGCACTGCTGGGTGGGCTCAGGGCGGAGAGGCAGGGGCTCAGAAGGACGAGAACAGAGAACAGGAGCGTCAGAAGCCTGGTGGCTCTCAGAAAGGGTGTTAGTGTCTGCAGTCAGGGGCCAGTAGAGCCTCATTGCAGAGCCCTGACTTCTTGAATTCCGGAGGCAGGGGCCTGGCTAAGATGACCTGTCTGAGGAAGCAGTTGAGAAGGTTTCTGCTCTAGACCTCCAGGGGCAGGGTACCAGTGCCTCCCCAGCAAGCTTGTCTGTGCCCCAGGCAGGAGAGGGCTAGGGCCAGATTGGCATCGGAATGGGGTTATTAGGGAGGGTGTTGCCACTGCTGCTGCCCTTTGATCCTTCCTGCCTGACCTGACTTCCCCAGTGCTGGCCCCGCATCTGGACCCCTCTGCCTTGGGGCTAGGAGCCAGGCTCCTGCTCGGGGCCTTCAGTGGCCCTATGAAACCTTTCCCTACATCCCAGGGTCTTGATGCCAGGGGTGAAGCCACTCTGTCCAAATCCAGGCAGAGCAGAGTCCAGATGGGATCCCAGTGCAGTCTGGCTGCTGAGCTGGGGGGCTCCGCTCTGCCTCAGCCTCCGTGGGAGAAGTGCATCTCCCAGCAGGTGCAGCTGGGCGGTGGGAAGACACCAGGGGCTGCCCCGCCCCTCCGAGGCAGCTCAGCAGAGGCTGAGCAGGCAGCCCCGTTCTACTCGTCACAGGTAGACCTCTACCTCTTCGCCGGGAAACTGAGGCAGGGCTGGTGAAAGGCCTTGGAGACCCCAGAACCTGGCTTGGGACTCGGACCCTTGCGAGGGGAAACTCCGACTGGCCGGAACAAGGGCTAGTGCTGGTGGGGGGTGCGGAGAGCTGGGCATCTGGGTCTGAGCTCCGTCTCTGCCTCGCCCCCACTCTGCCACTGACTCGGCCGTCCCCTCTGTAGAGAAAGCCGGAGACCAGCCCAGGGCGCGGGCGAAGAGACGCCTTGGAAAAGCCACTGACAGATAGGCACCCTAGCCACAGAAACGCTCAGACGACTTCTGTGATTTCCAGACCGTCAAAATTCCCTGTCCTCGAGTTAAAGCAGCCCTGGACTAGGTCACTGAGAAAGACCCTCCCCGGCCAGGCTCTGGCTTCCTGATTCTCAGCCCCCGTCCAGGCCCGGGCCGGGATGAGCAGACCCCTTTGCCCTCCTCCAGGTGGTGGCCGTGGTGATGGACGTGTTCACAGACATGGAACTGCTGTGTGACCTCATGGAGGCCTCCGGCCGCCGGGGCGTCCCCGTCTACCTGCTCCTGGCTCAGGAGCACCTGAGGCACTTCCTGGAGATGTGCTACAAGATGGACCTCAATGGCGGGCACCTGCCGGTCAGTGAGGCGCAGGGCGGTGACCGGGGGGCGGGGCAGGGACAGGAGAGCCCTTTGTGGCACTGCCAGTGGGCATTGGGGGCCAGTGGGAGGGGAGAAGAACCCATGGGCCCACAGGTTTAAGCCCCCAGTCTGTCGAGGTCACCCCCATCCTCCCGCCCTGGTCCAGAACATTCGAGTGCGGAGCACGTGTGGGGACACGTACTGTAGCAAGGCGGGCCGCCGAGTCACCGGACAGGCTCTGGAGAAGTTCGTCATCATCGACTGCGAGCAGGTGGTGGCGGGCAGCTACAGGTGAGCCGGGGCGCCAGACGCTGTGCCCCTCGGGCGCCCTCTAGTCACTGCTTTCCTGGCCATGGCCTACAGAAGAAAGATGGTCAACTGGAGCAGGGGGCGGAGGGGGGAGGGGCTTCTGGCGACGTTGCCCCGCCCATTTCACAGATGGGGCCCTCGAGGCCTTGAGCTGGGCCATCCTTTGCCCTGGGGGTCGCTCAGCAGGGTGCTCGAAAGCTGGGAGATCCTGGGTCAGAAACCCCCGGGTCCCCTCCCTCGCACCGTGGGGGACCTCGCAGGGGTGGCCTTTTGGCCTGGTTTCCTGCTCCATCCCACCCCACCCACCCCAGCCCCCGCCTGTGACGCGGGCAGGCCCTGACGCCGCCCCTCTGCCCCAGCTTCACCTGGCTGTGCAGCCAGGCCCACACGAGCATGGTGCTGCAGCTGAGGGGCCGCATCGTGGAAGACTTCGACCGCGAGTTCCGCTGCCTCTATGCCGAGTCTCGGCCCGTGGAGGGCTTCTGCAGTGGCGAGGAACGGTTGTCACCCCCGGCACCGCGCCCTCCCCAGGTGGCCCTGGCCTTCAGGCCTGGCATCCCAAGCCCCACGTCCTCGGCCCGGTCCAGCGTCAGTCTCGGCAGTGTCAAGCGCTCGCCTGTGATGGGCCGCTCTTCCTACCTCGCTCTCCCAGGGGGCTGCAGCGACAGGGCCGTGGGGTCCTCTTCCCCGGGTCCTGCCCGCCGTGAGGCCAATAGCCAGCACCCCCTGCAACGCCAGCTGTCAGACCCTCACCACAGCTGCCCTCCTGGGCTCTACAGGCCCAACCTGGGCAAGCTGGGGGCCTCCCCATTGTCCCAGTCCTCCCCTGTTCTCAACCACCACAGCACTAGCCCCGGGAGCCTGGCGGTGGGCTCATCTCTGCTCTCCCGACCACGCCCTCTCTTCCCCTTTTCCCGGGGTGGCCCAGGCCTGTCTCGGCTCCCAGAGAATGGGTTCCCAGAAAGCCAGGCACCCAGCCCCCCACGAGGTCGCCGAGGGCTTGGCCTAGTCTTGGAGACAGTAGATGAGAAGAAGGCGTCTTTGAGTCACAGCCGTGGCCAGCTGGACCTCCTGGTCCCCTTCCCCAGAGCCCGAGAAGCAGCAGCTCCCGACTCCAGGGTGACCCTCAGCTCAGGCTCCCTTCAGCCTGGTGAGCAGGTCCCAGAGGACAGGAGGGTGTCCTCAAGCCAGAGTTGCAGCCAGCTGGACCTCCTCCCCCGGGTCCCAGGTGCCGGGAGCACCCCTGAGTCAGGCTCACCCAGAATAGGCGATCGGATTGCAGAGGACCGAAGGCTGTCCCCAGGCCACAGCCAGCTGGACCTCCTGGCACAGTTCTCCAAGGTCCAGGGCCCCAAAGTGGCCCCTGAGCCCAGCCCCCCAGCCAGGCCTGGCAAACAGGACCCAGATGAGTGGCGGCACACCCTGGGCCACAGCCAGCTAGACCTTATCACCAAAGTTGGCCCATTCCGTGGCGAGGGGCCCGGGCCCAACAGTCTCCCCAGCCCTAGTCCCGTTCACAAGACTGGAGTGGGCTCTGCGGATGAGAAGCGGCTGACCCTGGGCCACAGCAAACTGGACCTCATCACCAAGTATCACCAGTTTCAGGGAGCCAGGCAGGGGCCTGAGGCTGCCCTCTCTAGGGGTCTCCCAGGTGGCCATCCCAATGGTAGCAACGACCT